TAAAAATGTGATGGCATCGGCACCTCCATGTCATGCAGTTGCATGCTAATAGCTTCCACACACACCACACAAACACTTGCATATGCACTTAATAGCACACATTATCTAGGTTAACGTTAGAGAGAGTGGCCATGTAAAGTTGATACTAGTTAAATGTTTCACTTTCAAATGATAGCCATATTTGAGGTCGATGAACGCCGAACGTTTTGATTTCCTGCCCGATATAACGTAATTACCTCAATGACCAACCGTTAAGAATCTGTCCGTCCCAGACACAGACCGTTTTTTCCTGCGACTAAAGCCGCGGTTACACTACACTTTGAGCATGTGAAATTAGTTCGGACGCTGCAACGGTCATGATATGACGTCAACAATAATAATACACCTAAAATGTAAAAACATACAATTTACTCCACTTTCCTGCAGTGCTGCAGTTTTAGATTTATGTTCTTTTAATTCAGATAGGAGGTCATGCTGTGACGTATCGATCTGCCGTTGGTCACACGGTGTCACGTGATGCGAATTCGCAGGTCAGAGTTCACCAAGCTTGAACTTGGGAACGCAGCGAAATGCGAAAACTTTTCGCACGGGCTTGCGTTTCCGGTTTGACGCATTCGCATGCGTATGAATGGAAGTCAGTGGAACGAAAAGTGTAGTGTGACCGCGGCTTAACCGGTTAATAACATTTTTGTCGACTAAGCTTCTTCTCATCTACTAATGTTCAGTTGACTTTTAGAAGGGCAGCTCTAGTCGGGTGAAAGCCAGAGTTTATTTAGCATACATCAGCATCACATCAAAGCAAGATGGACCAGATAACTTTTCATGATTGGTTCATCTTGGCTGCTGTAAAAGCGTGTTCAAAAGACTTCCATATATAGTTATTAATTTAATATGCAAAGATGTTACTCAATCCTAGCAGTGGGCATTTACAATGAAGAATTAAATGAGACACGACTCTTTAAATGCAGTGTTTAAATCACAGCACTAAAATAAGTGTAGAACATTTACTCATAAGAGAACTTCAAGAAAAAAATTTAATGAAGCAATATATGAAGTTAAAACCTTTCAAAAAGGAAAGGTGAGAAAACTGCAGGAGGGCAGACAATGTACATAAACACCTGGCAAAGGCAAATTAATTAAAGGGTTAGTTCTCCCAAAAATGGTGAACGTTTGTTTCCAGGAGCAAAGGAAGCAAAGTTTCCTTACTTTAGCAAAGGAAAACCAGTCTCCTCTTGGCTGAGTAAAACACAGCCTAATTTTCATTTTTGGGTGAACTAACCCTTTAACATGAGATTGGCAGAAACTGTGTGTGTTGTCCCCATTCCAAACCACATAAATCATAACTACTATTATTTTTGTATTTAATCATTTAGAAGTGATATATTATTGTACATGAAGGCTGGAAATAAAAAACTCCTTATTAAAGTGTGCGGAATTATTAGGCAGGTTTTCTTTTACGGATGAAATTAGCCAAAAAAGAGATTTAACTCAGACTGAGAAGTCAAAAATGATTAAATCCCCTTGAGAAATATTAAAAACTAATGCAATACAGAAATTTCAAAGTTAAGGCATGACCATTGGTCAGCTAATGAATAATTAATGTGAAGAATTAAGTGTGAAACCATCAGGAACCTTTTAGTCTCCAGTGCCACTATTTTCCAGAACTGCAACCTTGAGTCTCCAGAATTACAAGGTGTCAGGTTCTCAGAGACTTTTCTTGGGTAAACAATCCTTAAAAATTACCCCTACTTAATAAGAATAACATTCTGAAGTGTTGTAAAATACATGAAGACTATTTTTATAGGCTTTATAGACAGATAAGTTGAGAGTGACTCTTGAAGAACCAGCACCACATCCTCTTGTACCACTGTTTGAAGAATTGATCTTCCAGAATCTGGCAGTAAGTTT